CATATGTTTGTTCACCATTTATACCTCGTCCTCTGAGAAGTGTCCATTTCACTTGACCATTTCTTGATTGGCTTTTTAAATTTTAAGCAGTCTATTATATTTTAGTTCTGTATATATCCCAGATATTAGTTCTCCTATGTGCAATAGTAGCAATTTTTCCCATTCTGTACATTGTCGTTTTATTCTACTCATCAATTCCTTTGTTGTGCAGAAGCATTTTTAATTTGATGTAATCCCATTTGTTGGTTCTTGCTGTTATTTCTCCTGCAATGAGAGTTCTATTTAGGAAATTCTTTCCAAAATAAACCATGGCAAATATTAGGTTGAAGGGGTGAAGGAAAGGAACAGTAGCAGGGAGAAGAGAAAGCATATATAAAGCCAGTGCAGTTCAGCCTGGCTTCTGGAACAATGTGACCAACACTCAGCTGACAGGAGGAAGGACAGAACAAGAACTTCCGGTGTTGATGACGCCTTTCCAGCGGGGGATTTCCCTGGGACACTACAGCTGCATGTGACTATTAAGGAGAAGGGAAATCAAGGTGTGCTCAGCTAAGGAAAGAATAGAGACTTGGGAGGGACAGAGAGTAGACAGAAACTGTTTGAAGGTAACACTAACAAAATAAATTCAATATACATCAATTTCAATAGGAAAATATAAAGTATTTTATGGCATATACTTTGTAAATTTCAATGTATTTATCAAGTTCATACTGGTGGACATTTGTATTTATGCAGTTTTTGATCATTATTAATGAAACATATCCTTGAACCTTTATTAAAATATTAACATAATTTTGAGATACATACTTGATTTTTGACATATAAAATACTACATATGATTCATTGTATCTAGAAAATATGTTAATCAAAATTGTATCCAAATATTAGTAAAATTTGTGTTATTAAAAAGCGAAACATCTGTGATTTAAAGGTATGTCAAAAGAGCTTTTATATTTTTATTCAACTATTTTAATTATATCTGTGGTCTTGGGGATTAAATACAGAGGCATTTTACCACTGAGCTGTATCACCAACCCATTATTTTTATTTTTTATTTCAAGACAAGGTCTTAACTCAGCTACTCAGACTGGTCTCCAATTTGGATTCTCATGCCACAACCTGTACTATTTTTGTGATGCTTTTTATTTCAGTTTAGTTAAAAATACATAAAAGAAAAAAAATAACTGTTTTTTTGTTTCTCATGCAACTATTTGCTGTTTTATTAACATGGAAGAGTGTAACAACTAGGTTTTCCCCCAGTAAACAAAGAGAGATTTATTAAATCTTTGGGAAAATACCTAGATGAAAATGAAAATTCTATAATATACATAATTAATCTTCACCTTGGCAAACATCCAAAACAGGTATCAAATTAAAATACTGAGACTTTTCCATGTAATTGTAAGCAAATTCTTAGTGAACAATGTCTACCCAATAGACTTTGTTTTCTACATTTCTTTTATTCCCAAAGAAAATCAATTTTATTGATGTGAAGGTAAGTTTATATTTATTATAAAGCCTAAATTCAAATAACTCTATAATATTATAATTATAATGCCTAAATTCAAATAAATTTATAAGCATGAAAATATAATTAAATGATTTAATTTACTACACGAAGATTTGCATTAAGAGCTAAAGCAGGAACCAAGGAATCTGTAGTTTTAAAAAGTTTATTAACCTACACATGTACACACACCAAGAGCAAAAGCACAGCTGAGATAAAGTATCACCAATATAACACCATGGGATTGATATCTTCAAATTGTAATATTTGTTTGAATCTGCTGTAGGACTTGTTCCAGAAAGGATTCCCATTTGGGAATCTAATGGCTGTCAGTGTTCTGCATTTCTAAAAATGTTGAAGCTACTGGTCTAAGCTCCTGGACGAATGGCTTCATTACAGTTTTGAATCCTTTAAGAAAAGAAAACTGCATAACCTTCACTGTCTGAAAAATAGTATTACTGCAATGTCAAAAATCATCTTTAAAAATGATTAAACATTAATCTCAATTTCATTTCTCTCCCTCTAAAACTTTTTTTTTTAAGACACCATGAGGAGTAACAACCTCAGGTTGCTGCATCCAGCTAGGGGTCATTGGTCAGAAGTTCAAGTTTATGTTGCTCACTGCCACTCAAAAGCTAAATCTATTTTCTGGAGTTACTGTTAGTCGATTTCTGCCCATGCTTTCTAATGGAGTTCACAAGTACGCAGAGAACCTAATGGTCAGACTTTACTGTTCCTAGATATCCTGCCTGTGGGTTCAGAGATTTTTACCTCCAAAGAATCCCAGAGAAAGAAACCTCAAACCTTGAATGAGGGAATTATCTTTTTAAAAAGAAAAATCTGGAAGCAATCCCAGATTATACATCAGCCCCTTCAAATAGACCTCGCTGAGACAGCTGCAGGAAGAAAAAATTTCATTTATAATAGGTGCAAGGGCTCATTATTTTTCTTCTTGGAAAACATCTGCTTTTAGTTCTTTAGAATCATATCAGATAAAATCCATGAAGCAACATCTATAGATTCAAGTTTTAGTTACATGGTCAGAGCTGTTGTCATAAATCCAGTAGTCATCACTTCATAGCAAAAATTATAAAGAATTTATTTCCAGGCTACATGTCAGGCACTTGCTAAGCACTTAGTAAGAATTATCTTCATATATTATAAAATATAATAAAAGTAGTAGTCTTAACTGTACTTTGAACTTGAGAATTTTGAGGCCTAGCATGTTAAAGTAACTTGTTAATTTGTAAAACAGTTAAATGACAGAAGATATGAATACAGAAAGTAAATCTAGTATTTAACTCCCAACTACATCCTCTCAATTTCTTTGCTCTATTTTACCTCCCTATGACTAAGCAGGCATTCTTAAATGTGAAAAAAAGAACTCTCACCAACATGTTTACCTGAACTAATCAATTAGTCTATTGTTTCAGCATCCAATAAGTACTGATTCAGAAATATACTGGTGCAATTCTGGAATAAAGCTTCTCTTCTAAGAAAGTAGTCTTTATCCCATAATATTTTATTCAATGTAGTTACCCCCTTCATTGGCCAGATAGGAGTAAAACAGCATTATCATGCTTGGATTATTTATTTGTTAATATAGGAGGTTCTATAAACAACAACAAAAAAAGTCAAACAATCTAACATATAATCCCTTCCATTAAGGAAAACTTCATTGAGCACATGTATCTGAGAGAAGTGAGTGAGAGAGAGAGAAAAAACTGTACGTCTTCATTGATGATGACATCTGTTTGGGTAGCCATATTCTTTTCCCCCATGAATTAGAGAATCTGGAAGTCTCTTTGCCATATAGCTTTTTCTCCCTTAAATGAGTAAGATTTGGGTCATAGTATTGAAGCTCTATTAGGTAGAGTTTAGCAATGCCCTGGGTGAAAGGTGAATTGAGGGCCTCAAGGGACTCTTCAGGACAGACCTGGTCTTGCTTCCTGGAATGCGCTGTTCCTCTTTGAAAGCAGATTGAAGCACTGCCCAGGCAGTCGTATTCACTACAGACTCTTGAAATTAATGCCTGTTTAAAGTGCCTATGCTCGCTGAAATGCATAATGTACGACACTAGCTATGTTAGGTTTTTCATTCATATTATTTTCAGAATGCTTCCTAAAACGCAAAAAATAACAAAAGTGGAGGCTACTGTACTTACTGATAGACCCGCAACAATGATTATTCTTAAAACTTCATTTTCCATCCATATTATCAAATTGCATTACATAATCACTCTTCTGTAATATTTACACACACACGAGTGCAAACATCCATAATCAAGCTGCTCATCTATAGGTGTATGTACATATGCATGTATGTGTATAGAATATAGTTAAAGTAGGTGTGTCCAAATATTTCAGTGACTCTGACTAAATAAAGATTAAATGTGATTTCAGGATATGTGCCAGGGATCTAGAAAATAAACTGTAATTCATGATGGGATAGGAAGCACATTATCCATTTATATTTTATAAAATGACCTCCAAAACCACAGATTCACTGAGTACTAATGAAAAAAAAATTTAATGGCAGCTTTTGCAAGAATTTGCATTGTCCCTAGATCAGGAAAACATCATCATCTTGTGTGGGGCACAAGACGAACGGTCGGAATCGGGGGCATCAGAAGAAGTAAGCTCTTCAGAATTCCACGCACCACCCACGTTCACCTTTCGTTAGCTTCCACCCAAAGTGCTGGCGGCGGACTTCTGCCCGATTTGGGCAGATGAAACTGGGTGCCAGAACATTATGCGACTCTCTACCAGTCAAAATAAGTAATTTTGTTTATATGATAGGAGCTTAGGAACCTTCGCTCTAACAAAGTGTGCCTGAACATCGGCAACTACACTTTTCTCCAAAGTATCAAGTTCTTAACAGTGAAAGACAAATGAACCACGCTTGCCTTCTGCTCAAGGAAAGGGAATAACAAAAAAACACATAGCCTGGGGGAAGAAAAGGCAGCAAGACTGAGTTCTCTTCAGGAGTTCAACTGAGGAGTGAAAGGCAAGTCTGGCTGTTTATGGGAGTGAATCTAATTAACACTCTCTTACTTTCATTAATCGATTGAGTCAAGTTAACTTCTCCACAAATAAGGAGACATTGCGCCTCAACTCTTAAGACTACTTTCTGATCACTGAAGCACTGTGCTCACAAAAAGTACTTTATTTTATAAGTCCTTCGTGATACTGGGCAAATGGGCACGAAGAATATTGAACACGAAAAAGATAAAAATAAATAATAACACATGGTATATTTATAGCTATGAGGGTGGAACACTCGAAAACTGGCAGGAACGCGTTAATATATTTTAATCTCCATCTGCACAATTTAATTAGTTAGATTAATCATCAGGGAAATTTTTTTACCTTTTTACATGTTCCTGTAATCGTACTTATTTTTTTGTTTTGTTTTGTTTTCCACCGGTATGTTTTGGTAAAAGAGAACATGGTGTAAAAAGTGTGTTTCTTGGCCAATATTTTTGGTTTTTTAGCTTCACTAGCCAAAAGTCTGATGATGACTATGAAGATTATGCTTCTAACAAAACATGGGTCTTGACTCCAAAAGTACCAGAGGGTGATGTCACTGTCATCTTAAACAACTTGCTGGAAGGATACGACAATAAACTTCGACCTGATATAGGAGGTATGCTAAAGCGTTTGTGCTGTGCTATACCGTGGGAAACATAAATGTGTCTACTTTAGTAACCTTGTTAGAAGAAAGTGTTAGCATATTTCTAGAGGAAGAAAATCATAGTTCTATTTTATATTATAATAGAAATGAAGCGTATATAAATAGCATTCCAGCTTGGAGGTAGGGTTAGTGTTAAGTTCAATGTGAAAAAAACATGATTTTTGAGTGAAGCCTAAGAGCTAAAAATTAAATTTTTCTTAGATATTCCAGACAAGAGGAATAAATGATTATATTTTATGAAATAACTTGAAAAATCAAAAAAAGAAAATGGAGAGACAATATTGGTTATCTATTGCTGCATAACAATCACAAAATCTCAGTGGCACACAACACTGAGAATTTACTTAGCACTTCACTGGGGGCTAAAAAAAAATGGTGCTGCTCATTCTCCTATTGGAACCAGCACACCAGTTAGAAGCATCCTTCATGACAACAGAAGATAACAAAGTAGAAAATAGAAACTTCTAAAGCTAAATGCCCAGATTTAGAATTGACACATTCCACTCTTGTCTATCTATTGTCAGCCAAAGCAAGTCTGAACAAGCCCGATGTCCAGAGCAGAGAAACAGTCTGAGGTGAAAGTATGGGTATATATGTTGGTATTCATGAAGAATCTAATGTATCACAGACAGCTTAGGCATGCTGCTTTCAAGGGAAATAAATAAAAACGAGGAAAATGTAATTGTTGAATTTTGATCCCGAAAAATGTGATGAATCTGTGTTCATTGTCATATGAAAATGGAATACATGCATCTCTTCATGAATGTTGTATTACAGATTTTTAATAAGAGTCCTGTATGACAAATAGGTATGTAATGGCCTTCCATATGGTTTCCTCATATTATCTATGTAGCTATATCCTCTAAGAAGTCATTGAGGAAGATGGTTTTTGTGCTGGATAAATGCTGAGCATAAAGTACTTGTAAAAAAGTCAGTAGGGATCAATGTTTCAGAAACAACTCGTGCTACATTTTGTTCTTTACGTCCACTTCAAATTTCTAATGCATAGTTTTTTACTAGGCTGTGATGTAATTTTTTTCTCTATTTGGGTCAAGTCAGATTAAAATGTGCAAAGAGATTCCAGATCATGAAGGAAAAATGGTGAAATTTAAGCTATGAGAGAAAGATGAACAAAAGCTGAGGAGTGTCTTTTAATTTATTCATTTATATATTTTTTAATGGATAATCAATTTCAAGATGCTACTATCCTTCTTAACATTATGTTCTTAAAAGGAGATACTTCTTTGAGAACAAAATTGTTACTCAAATTTAGTGAATTAGTAACTATTGCCAAATGAAATATAAATAAATCAATACTAATGTAGCTATGTAAGTCTATTCTAGAAAATATAGATTAAGAGAATACAATCTTGTGTCCCACATGCACATATATTTATGATTTTCTTTACAGTGAAACCAACACTAATTCACACAGACATGTATGTGAATAGCATTGGTCCAGTGAACGCTATCAATATGGTGAGTTTCAAATAAAATTTTTATTTTAATAAGAATAGAAATAACAAGAAACGTGATTAACAAAAAATTAGGTTCAAGTTTTTGGAACATAAAGGTAATTTTTAGATCCATTATTTCTCTTGTAATTTAAAATGTTAAAGTTTGAGCATTTTTTTCTTATACGAATGAAATGTGATCACATTTAAAGTTGATTTGGGTAAGAGTCCTGTTATTGAAATGTAATGATGATTGTGTACGTGTCAGTGCTAATCATAACAAAACAAAATATAACACTCCACTATTTTAAAAATATTTAAAGTGTGGGGTGGCATCGTTTTCTTCAATTAGAAATATTTCGCTAAGAAAATATTGTATCATTTGTAATAACAAATGTAACTTTATTCTTATATAAAATTTTGCACTGAAATCTGAAATGAGAAACTGAAGTCAGTCCACAATATAAAGAATGGAAGAGAGTAGGGAAAAATAAAATGGAATCAATGTGCTGTAACATAAATACTAGTATTGTGTTATATGATAAAATGTAATAATGTTATATGATATGGTGATGCTATAATTTAAAAGCAGTGTTTACCAAGCTACCAACATAGATACTTTGTTAAAACAGTGAGAGACAAAATGCTTTACTTTTTCTTCATTACTGTAATAAAAACACCACCAACTATACAGTTCATGAAAATAAGCATGCTTGTTTAACCATTAACTATTTTTGTTTGTTTTTGGTACTGGGAACGAACTCAGGTCCTTGCACTTAAGAGGCAGGCAGTGAAACCACTGAGCTAAATCCCCAGCCCACTAATGATTAACTATTAATTCTTTTACATCTTTCTCACTCAAGTTCTCAGACTCTTTAGTATTCTAATGTGAACTATAAATGAAAGAAGGACAGCTTCTAGATATCAGTCTAACTTTATTCTTATAGGTTGTTAGTTTAAATATAGTACATTTTGCTTTAAGAATAGCAGTTCCCAGAACTATCTCGGCATCAGTGTTTGTGAGACACTGGGTTTAATTCTCAAATACTTTAACTTGGGGATTTTGTTTGTTTGTTAGTGGTATTTTTTTTCTAAATATATCCATACTTACTTATTTTAAATCCTGGCACAACACAAAGTAGTAGAGAAAGAGTTTGAAAGAATAGGTTTCCTTCTCATTATTCATATACTGCAAATGGAGGACTAACTAGGGAACAGACCTGTCTTCCTGCTGTAGAGACTCAGTCAAATCCAGTGAGACTGCAGCAGGTGCTACAGAGACAGAATACAATGGTGTGCATGAGATAAAGAAGCAGATCCAGCAGTCCGCATATTCTTGGACAAATCAAGAATCTCCATGGTTCTTCATACTTTTCAACATAACATGCCGTGTAGGGAATGATACTAGGAAATGTGATAACCTTCTCCCCACCAGCTCTTACATTTTAGTAAGACTGAGTTGCTTTTGTTAATTTTCTTATTTATGGACATGATTAAAATTAACCTATAAAATAATACAAGATGCACTTGTGGCAAGTTATTGGTCATCATGACAATACAAAGTCCTTGAGCAAGCTGTTATAAAAGTTTACTCTTTGCTTGTATTGTTCACATAAAGTGATTTATTAAATGAGATGACACGTAAAGGATGTAGCCGGAGAAGTGACACAGTAAGTACTTGATTGATAACAAGAAGAATAAAATGACACCAGCCTGTTGATTAACAATTAGGATGACAATGATGACGATGATGATGATGAAGGAGAAGCAGAAAGGCTTAATTTTGGAGCTAGAGGGGACCTCAGCTTATGTTTATCTTAATTCTTCATGTGTAAAGATGGGGAAAAAGAGGCCAGCGACTGAAGGCGTTTTCCTCAAAGACTATCTGGAAATGTACCAGTCACACTAGAGCTCCAGGGTTCTGGCCATTCTGCAACTGTGGGAATTTTATACTACGCTAGGTTTGCTTTCACCGAAGTCAACCAACCACTCTTTAGTCTAGCGACACATACTGGAGAGGAACCATTACAGTCTTTTGTCATCGTACTATTTAAGAATATATTTTCTGGTAGAGATGTGTGTGGTCCAAAACCTACTTTACTTGGTTAATGACATCTTGTTCAGAGCCAAGAAAAGCAGCAATTATAAATATTAAGACAATAATGAGTTTTTTTTATTGGTTGTAGGCTACCTTACAGCTGTGGCATAAAGGACTTGTCACACAGTTCCTCTTTTCTGCCTCCACATTATCTAACCCATTAGGTTCCTTAGCATCTCCATTTTATTATAAAGCCACCAAAACTCCTTTCCTGGAGCTACATATTTTTTTTCTTTTGATTATGCTAGTCTTTGTTTCACTCTACAGCAGTGCATCTGAATATAGCAAATTCTGCTCCTAGGATAGCTTTTGCAATGTGCAAAGAAATTTTAGTTTTGCAACTTAGCAGGAATGGGGGTAGGACAGAGGGGTTGCTACTAACATTTAGCATGCACAATCCAAGGATGCAGCTAAACATTCTACCGTACACAGGACAGCTCTCCACAGTGAAAGATTTGCCGGTTCTTACAAAGTGTTCTATAGATATGGAAAGCAAACGTTTATATCTGAGCTATGATCCTTTCTCAGAATTCAATGAGACAAATTTAATTTTTCATAAAAATAGCAAGTTGGTCTAACGAACTGAGTTAATTAATAGCCTTATCAACTGAGGTATTTCTTTCTTCTGGACTATTCAAAGCCAAAGTAGCTTTCCTCATATTGACATTCACATGAGAATGAATTACTCAAAAGTTCTACAGCATATTCTTCTTGTATTAAAAAGGTTCTTTTATCTTTCTCTTTAAAATAGGAATATACAATTGATATATTTTTTGCCCAAACATGGTATGACAGACGTCTGAAATTTAACAGCACCATTAAAGTCCTCCGGTTAAATAGTAATATGGTTGGGAAAATCTGGATTCCAGACACTTTCTTCAGAAATTCCAAAAAAGCAGACGCACATTGGATAACCACTCCCAACAGGATGCTGAGAATTTGGAACGATGGCAGAGTGCTCTACACTCTAAGGTATTCTTTCAGGAAAATAAAAGAATAATTGCTATAAATAGAACAAAAAAATAAACCATACTCCCTTTAAATAAAAAAAAAAAGAGGAAAACATTCCAAGCTGCTATCACGTTTGGCATGTTTGCTTGAAACACCATGTGACATTAAAAAATTAGTTCTTTGCATTATCAGTGAGATTTTTTCAAAGCACACAGCCCATAAACACAGGTAGAACTTATTTTCTAAGACCAATGTGAAGTAAAAAGGTTTTTGTGTCACAAATGACAAGAAATTTCTCTTGCCTTTGGGAAATTACCTGACCTTTGTGCCAATTATGGCTTTAGCATGTGTGTGTCCTGCTACATAAGACTAAAAGCTAAAACAGTCTGGACCACCGTATGTGGAGATGTTTTCATTTCTAAGGAAATCACTATTAAAGGAGAATCTCTGATGTAAAAGTCTCCACACAATGACAGAGACCCAGAATTTATTACCTTCCATCCCCAGACACCCTAATCCCCATGACATTAATAATCTGTGAATTAATTTATGGACATTAATAATCTGTGAATTAATTTATGCACATTAATAAGCTGTGACTTAATTTATTATCTATTTGGGGAATAACAGTCTTTTGGGAAAGTTGCTGGGAGCTTTATCCTCAATTTAAATATTAGGTAACACTGGAAAAGTTCTCTATTTAAATTATTTTATGGCATTATTTTAGCCCACTACATATTCACACGCACGTAAAATACTTTTGTATTGAAGTTTCCTGTTGGTGCCAGTATATTATTAAATAGCATTCTAGATCAAATAAATGTGCTTAGGAATCAGGCTGATCTGGCTGAAGTTCTTTGGTCTCTACCTTGCTATCTGTAAGAAGTCAGGCAACTTTCCAGAATGTCTTTTGACAGGGAATAAGGGAAGTAATACGCTAGGTTCTTGGTTCTAGAAGACATCTCACAGCTTTGTGTGCATAGTAAGCATGAGGCTTTTCCTTGATTAAGTTTTTCATTTAGATGAATTAAGTGAGAGCCGATACAAATTTTTAGGAAAGAAAGCATCATCAGGCCACAGTGCATCTCCCACTCCTTTGCCACTACAGCTGAGCAAACTCATTTACCTTGCATTATTTAATTTCTATAAAACATGGATAATCATTCTTACCTGACAGGATCATTACAAAGATGAAATGGGCTAATATGTAAAATGTTTACCGTACAGCCTGATGCCTAGTAAGCACAGCAGATACTAAAATTATTTTTAGTAAAAATTCAAATGATTCTTCTACATCTTAGCATCCTAGAACTTCTACCTTGCAAATTACTCATATTATATATACACGTGGCATGTACTCTATACCTTATAGAATGCTCAGCATATGAAATATAGAACTGATGATGGCTCCAAGTCTTTTATCAGAATTACAGTAGCTATTAGGAAAAACGACCAACAACAGCAAAACGAATTCAGTCCATTTATTTTGTGTTCATCAAAGGTTTTATTAAATTAGAGATAAGGTAGCGACTGGAATGAGAAACTAGGGGAAATCAAAGTCTATCTGATAAAGCCCATCTCAGTCTAGCTTTAGAAATATGAAGTCAGTTACCTGATTTCAAGCCTTTTTATTACGCTTATAAAATTATAGTCATTTTTTACTTCTATTAATTTAAGGAATTACAACAATACTTAGTTATACTAAAAATGTCACTTGTTACATTCAGTTAAGACTTGAACCACTATCAGCTTGTATAGAGAGATTTTTATTTGGGTGGCTTATCTATAATGAGCCTTGTGTATGTGTGTGTGGGTTCATGTAAGCATATATACATGCATACCTGTATGTTTGTAAATGCAATCTACCTGTCTTTCTTTTTTAAGACAACAGTCATGGAGTGACAAAGATTAAAACTTCTAGCTTTGGAGACAAACTTTAGTCCACCTTTCAACTGTGGCAATACTTTCATGACGCTGAAGAAGTTCAAGTACAATAAAGCAAGAAGAACACTTGCTAAATGAGGAAACAATTCAATTCCTCCACATCTACATAGACAATTAAGGCTATATTCCAAGATCAGTTACTATTTTATTATACTACAGAACAGTAAAATCTCCCCAATTAAAAGTCACACTAACTGAAGAATCTTTCAAAGTAAACCTTTATAAAAATATTTTCATAACTTGAATAGTGATATCTGTATATGGTAAGGAAACACAGCTAATAACCTAAAACTTAAAAAAAAATTTCAACCCATTACCACATTACCTGCATTTCTCCAGGGATGATAAAAAAATCTGGACTCCCCTATTTTCCCTCCTAAAAATCCTAGCTCTGGGCTTTAGCCTCAAAATATACATAAACTTTATTTTAAAAAAATGACCATGACAAACTGAGACTCACCGGCAAACACATCTGTGTTTCAAATACATCTGGGAATGTGTATAGATTTCTTGTTTGCTACAGAAGCTATCTCATTACCTTGTAAGGTACTATTTCATGATTTCAGAATGTTCAACTGTAAAATTATATAAAACTCTACTGTGTAAAAACATATGCATTTTTAAACTTGTAAAACACAAGCTAAACAAACAAATCCTTACAATCAGAGAGTCCTGATTTAATAAGCACGTAAGATCTGAGCATTGTCAGCATTCATTTACTTAGAAACAATAAATGAGCTTAAATTCTTAAAAGTTTAAGTTAAATATATGCACTAATTAATCTTATGTAATTAATTTCCTATAAAGAAGCAAGCAAAATTTAAGTAATACAGATTTTGAATGAATAGAAATGAAGTGAATGAGATACTATCATTTAGTCTGGAAAAATAAACAGCCTTCAGTTAGGCTTTTATTGCCCTCAAAACAGGCTCTCCTTATATTCCAGACTCACTATTCAGCCCCAGCTGACCTCTAACTCACTGCAATCCTCCTGCCTCAGCTTCCCAAGGGTTGGGGGGGGGGGTCATGTATCACTATGCCTGCCTTCCATTTAGTCTTATTTCATTTTTATTCAATATGATGAATTTATTCAGTGAGCACCATCTTGTTATGCACCAAAGTGTGAAATTATACTCTAGAAATTCTGGGAATGTTCATTGAAAAATTACACTCACAACCTTCCTATTTGTTTTTAATACCTTTCTACTCAGGTTGACAATTGATGCTGAGTGCCAGTTGCAGTTGCACAACTTCCCAATGGATGAACACTCCTGCCCCCTGGAGTTCTCCAGTTGTAAGTAATATTCCTTTTGCATTTTGTGTCACCTCTCACATGCAGTCTTTCATTGTAATTCAATTAAATGGGAAATTTGCAGACAAATGCAAGTTGGCATTGATCTATGCTGTTGATTTTGAATACTCTGGCAATCTTTTTTTTGCATAACACCTACTTGTCCCAATGAAGAAAAATGGGTTTGTAATGCCTAATAAGACAGTGACCAGTATAAACTAACAAGTAAGTAATACACTGCTTTGTAGTGAGGGCAGTCAATGGGAAGATGCTGGGGCTCATGTTCAAGCAAAAAGTAAAGAAAAATAGACTCAAGTACGCCAGAGTGAGAAACAGTTGGGAAAAATTTCAACTTTCTATTATTATCTCTCCACTTGTTTGGGCCCATTTAATGTGTGCACATACACAAAGCAGGAAGCAGGAATGCCAAGGGGAAGACACTAGTTATCTTAATACCAAGACAACAAAAGTTCTTCATAAAAAAGGGATTACAGTGAAAGGTGGGATAATGTAATGATTATGAGAACAATTTTCCAAGTCAAAATACCCTGGGTAAATTTTCTTAATTTTTCTCTAACTTGTTTGTGTTTGAGCATGACACTTAATAGACAGACTATATTTCTTGAGTGGAAAACATTATTAAGCTAAATGTGGAAATATAGTCTGTTTGACCTTCTGGTTTTTGAATCTTAACCTGTATTAACACATAATGGTATTGTATTCATCTTAACTACTGTAACAACTTAGTCTAGGATGTTCATCTATGACACTCTTCCTAGTTACCCCAGTGTCTCATTCAGAGTAGGCGGGTACTACATATATTCATGTATTATCATTTGTAATGTGAGTTTTCCTAATCCATTGTAGACGGTTATCCACGTGAAGAAATTATCTACCAATGGAAGCGCAGTTCTGTTGAAGTGGGTGACACACGATCTTGGAGGCTCTACCAATTTTCATTTGTTGGACTGAGAAATACTACTGAAGTAGTCAAGACAACTTCCGGTAAGATGCACTTGAAATGAATTTTCAGTGACCCTTCCAGACTTTAAATGCTCTTGTGTATGATTTGGAAGACTTTTCCATGCTTCGCTACAAATGATATTCAGAAAATTAATGAAGTGTTTTAATTTCCTAGAGAAAAATTATAATTGGTACTCTAGTAGAATAGATAAATAGAAATGTATTCTATCAATGTGAAACAAATTTAATTCAAATTGGATTAGTGAATTACCTGTTAATTTTTAAGCAAAAATTAATAGCAATTATTTTTAAGAAGAAAACATTTCTTAGATGCAAATTTATCATTTCTTTTAGGGAATACTTTTCTAATATGTTGAAATAGCATTTATCATAATCACACAGAGATAATGCACATTCTACAAATGCAGAAAAGTGACTGTTGTGGATATAGATTCATTTTCCTTTCAGTAATTTATTATTTCAAGGTGTCTCTATTAGTGGATAAGAGACTATGACTTGGATATTGGACAGACTTGGATTCAAATCTTTATTCTATCAGTCACGGTTCAGCTATAGATAATGGACAAATTTACTGAATCTCTGCTTTTGTAAATATTCAAAATCAATAGAAGGAATTGCTCACAAAGATTCTGTTTATACATAAAAAATGTAACATTCTTAGAATGATACCTGCCCCTTAATGAGCCCTCAGGCTAGCACTAATACTAACATTGGTTATAAGCATCACACATGCATGAGGTGTAATGTATTCAAGACTTTATATTTGTCATGTGAAGCTAAAAGTCATTATTTTATTTGAAATCATGTGTTTTCTTATTATATTAGTAGTACTATTTAATTAAAATCTCATGTAGAGAACGTTAGACATAATTCCAGACCAGATGTAACTCATGTATTTTTAACTTGAACTCTCTGCAATGTTGAACATATATTCCATGTAGATTACTCCAATTAATCCCTTAAACAGTATGTAAATTTAAATATCTGTCAATTTAAAATGTAAATACTATGTTCTCAGCTTATTATCTATTAGGATTTGTCACTTGATTTCCACAAGCCAAACAGATTTCTGTTAATTTATTCAAACATACCTTATTTTTTTTCTAGAATTTAAGGGATATAATTTTCTTCTGAATAATGTTAGAATGCACTTTGGTATACTCTACAGAGACAAGCAAATTAAGAACCTACACAAAGATGATAGTTTAAGATTCTATCTTCAAAACTGTCATTCTCTGCATCATGGAGTTATCTGGCTCTAGTATTGTTTTTAGTATTCACAAATCTCTGCCAAAGGCTTCTTATTTAGCAAAAAGGGTTAAAGCAATGTTTGAGTATATTTGGGAAAAATGGCCTTCTGTAGAATTGCTGACCGGCAAGTACTAGAAGAATCTTTCATGTGCTTCAGGGTGAAAAATTCAGGATTACTTTAGAACTAAGGTCTTCTGTCCATGAAAGAAGAACGGGTGTAAAAATAATTTCCAGTTTTTTATGCTTCCAGAATGAGGAAGTGGGCAATACATTCTGCTGTATATTCATATTTCTATAATTATTCCTGCACCCTAAAACAGAACACACAAACTCATGACTAGCAGATTTTTTTTGTGTAGTCATTCTGAGCCCAGAATTGCATTAAGACCACGTGGTAGTAGTGGAAGGGTAGAATTTTACATAAAATGGCCTAATTTTATTCCTGCTTTAATATTCATATGGAGAATAACTGAACGCATTTGCTGACTACTAGGAGTTACTTCCAGGAGAAAATCATCCACTTACTTTAAGCATAGAAAAGAGAACTAACAAATTCTCACATGGCTATTAATCTAAGAAAATAACAACAACATTATTTTGAAAAAATAGCAGGTGTGGGCTGGGGATTTAGCTCAGTTCTGCCGCCTGCTTCACAAGTGCAAGGTCCCAAGTTCAATCCCTGGTACACACACAAAACAAAACAAAACAACAAACAAACAAAATCAGGTGTGATTTGAGCAGTGGTAATTAATAGAACTCAACAACTACTTTGTGAATTTTCTTCTGGTTGTTAGGCTTCACATTTGGTCTTGGTGCTTTGTGCTTTGTGTTCTGCATTATTCCAGCTCCCTCTGTGAAGAGAGAGGGCTGAGGGCTGAACTGAAAGTTCTTATCAATAAAAGAGAGGCAGCCTGATTTTTGTCACAATTGATTTTGTACTGATTGGAAGTTCTAATTTGCAGTCTTGCTTATTTTTGATGAAATTCTTATCTTGGAAGCAAAACTCCATAAATAGTTAATATCTATGACTTTTTATTAATGGACTTTTTCTTGGGAAACTATCAGAAGTTCAAATTATGATCCTTTTGAAATTTAGCGATCATTATAATGTGGCTTTCTTATGGACTTGTAGTAAACATATCTCCTTTAAGTCACCTCCATTGCGACTGGACAAGAATACTGCCTATAATGTGACACAGCTGTTTTCTAACCTTCATTCATTCCACTTTATTGTATCTTGTAAGTGAATCTGCTCCGCGTCCCTTAGTGCTGCAGGAAAATACGATGTACAAGAACCAACCAAAAGTGCCCTGAGACCAAAGAAAAACCTGGACAGATTCAGAATTTCAAACTGCAAAAATTTTTGGAGACTCACTGATAGAATCATGGTCAAGGGCAACAACAAGACTAGGGATCCTTGTAATTTTCGTCAAAGGGAGGGTGTATATAATCCTTAGCACAAAAGTGATTTGTATGCAAGCCAGAATGTACCTGGTTTATTTCAAGCTAATATCAAGGACGTCAGGCAGATGCCTAGAATGAATGGTACCAGATCTGGTAGTCAAGCTCTGGTTCTACTCTATAGGTGTTATTTATTTATGTTGTGTGAAAAACTAGGCAGGGAAAAGAGACCACGATTACTCTGGGGGTAATCAAGACAGTTACAAATCTAGGCTGTGGTCAGGTCAAGCTGGATCTCTACATTAATAATTTGTCTCTTTAAATTGGTTTATTATTTTTAGTAAAATGAGTATTTTTTTCTTAAAATTAGGCCATGTGGAAAACTAGAACCAACTGACAGAAATAGAAATTGATATAAAATATAATTTAAAAATAAACACATGATCTTAAATTTTAAGTACATATATATGGGTTCTCCAAACTCTGAGTGTATGAAGAGAAAAAAACAGAGGCTCACAGGAATAGTATAGTACAACTATTACCAAAGTAGAACATCTTACTTAATATAGACAGAAGAGAGGGGACATTTCACAAGAAAATATTTGCCTGCCTCATCATTAAAGGCTATTTTATATTCCTTTCATCCACCACCTGAATCATCATCTTTCTTACCACTTTCAGTGTATCACACTTTACAAAAACTTTCGTTGGTGGTAGATCAAGAAGACGTATGGATAACTTTAATTCAGAGTCAATACATCAGAGCACATTCTGGATTTATAGTTTCTCCTGGAAATGATTGTCTTTTTTTTCATTGTGCTATATCTGGTAAAAGCACCACCAGTGCCCCAGTGAGCCAAGCAGGAACACTCAGAGTCCCATCTCCTCCTCCCACACTAACGAATCATGAAGGTACTTATGCCTCTGAAAAAAAATCTTGAGTAACTGCCCTCTTTTCCGTCGCTATTGCCACTGTCCTAGTTCATGATTTCATCTGTTCTTATCTAGACTCTGTCAGGAGCTCATTAAGAGCCCACTGTTAATCTTGGCCTTCTGTGGCCTGTGCTGAACACAATGAGAACAAACGCTCACACGATGCACTATGTGCACCACAGGGTTGTCTAAATGACCAACTCTAATTTCGAAATCATAGGCGTACCTGCAGTCCTCACCACTGTGGAATCACGGTGAACGAGCCAGCTGAGACTTCGGTGGGTTCCTTCATCTGCAGGAATCCAGTGCAAGCAGAGGGACACAGTGTAAATTTGCTCCTTGAAAAAAATACCACTGGAGTAAAAACATGTTACAAGATTTGCATGACTACTCTTTAAAATGAATTTGAGAATCAATGTCTTAATTTATAGTATACTTAAACCAACCTCATCAACATAGCAATAAGTTTTATTAAGTTGCTTCTTCCTAACTCAACTGAAATTATCATTTCTGCTACATTAAAAAACATGTACACCATTGCGATCAGATGCAACTACAGATCCCCCATGTCCAGTTTCCACCCTAGAGTAAATTTAAACATTTAAGAGCCAGAGCATTACAGGGTATCTCTGATGAATTTATAGTATTTTGCATTTAATACAGAAACCTCAACATAAATTTCCAAATTTTCACAAATCTCTGTGTTCCGTTGCATCCAATCCCAAATTATCTGCTCCTTGCAAGAAACATTTTCAAATGACAACAAAAAGATATTCTAAAATGTAGCATTTTCTTAAATATATTTTTCCCCCATATTCAACACATTTAATTGTTTTGCTCATAAAAACTTAACTGCCAGCCCCATAAGATGATTTTTTCTTATGAATACGGGGTACGACAAATAAATGATGTTGATGGAAAGGCTGACAGATGAACTTCTCAAGTCAGACAACTGAGTTTTTACTCTAACAGTAAATCCAACCATGGTTCCTTCTCTGCCCATACTTGTATGAGTAAGAGGACCACACACCTTGTTTTTTATCACGTATGTCTAGTGTTCACTAGTAAATGGTGAAGAGCTACTGAATAAAAAAGATAATGTTTAATTCATGAGTTGTGTGATAACTCCTTGTTACAGACAAGATGCAATCACGGACACCAGCTGTAACAACCTAAGGATCAATTTTCCTTCCTTGGTGATGGTTCTTTGTTATCATATCAGTAACTGAGAGCAAAATCAGATTGATACAACAATAAAAACGTAGGGGTAAATCTTAAAGATCAATGCCAATTCTAATTTTACTTACAGAGAAATGACTCCAAAAAGATGAAATCAGAAGATGGGTAACGGCAGCCAGTTGTTCAACTCCCATCTAGAGCAGAAATCATTAGGGACAAAGTTACTTTTATTAATTTTAATCAGCATTAGCCAATTG